TTTTTTTTTTTTTTTTTTTTAGCAATGTGGTCAGAAGCTTAAAACTGTCGCTGTGTGTCTCCAGCATGGAGAAAGTTTTCCAAGACTTGCAACAGACTGAAGCGGAGCCTTGCATAGCTCTGGAAGATGACTTCGAGGCACATAGACGGAATGAAGAAAAGATCCGTGAATTGGTTCGTAAGAAGTGTTTGAAATATAGCAGAGGAATTATCTAATCCCCAGCTGAATTTGTAAGTTTGCTCACTTACAGTGAAATAAACAGTGTCTAGTTTTTATGGTAGTTTCATTTTAATGGAGAGATGTGAGCCAATTTGGTACATAGATTACAGTCAATCAATAACAGACTTATTATATGAGTAAAGCAGTCCTATCCTCAGAAGCAATTTCTTTGGTTCCGACACCCACAAGGTTCCCCTGCTCAAGCAAGCACATCTTAAGTTTGCCATGGAACAGCTAAATGATTCAGAGAAGGTTTGGGAGAAAGTGATGTGATCAGGTGAAAGCAAAATCGAGTTCTTTGGCATGAACTTGACATGCCGCATTTGGAAGAAGAGAGATGATGACCCAATGAGCACTATCTCCACAGTCAGGTACAGAGGTGGAATCGTTATGCTTTTTCTGCTAACAATACGAGAAGTCCCTAAAGTCATGGAAGAGAACCCCCTTCCATGGATGGGTTTTCAACCAACGACCCAAAACAACAATATGAAGCATGTTAAGGAGTAGCCTATCAGTCCCATAGAAAATCTGTGAAGGAAGCTGAAGCTTTGATTTCCCAAGCAGCAGCCAAGAAACCTAAAGGATTTAGAAAGTTCATGTAAAGAGCAGTGGGCCAGAATCCCTCCTGACATGTGTGCAAACCTGGTGGTAACTACAAGAAACATCTTCAACAGTTTCTCCACCAAGTGCCAAGTCATGTTTTATTATTTCATTCAATGGCACAGAAATCAATTTACTACTTTTATGTAATGTGTTTTTTTCTGAATAGTTGATTGTCTGTCTCTCTCCATTAAAAAGAAACAACCATAAAAATTGGAGACTTGTGATTTCTTTGCCAGTGAGCAAACTTACAAATCCAGCCTTGGATCAAATCATTATTTCCCCCAGTGATATTTAAGCTTCATAAAATGTAGATGTAATGTTGCACTGATTGCTGGTTTCTCCCAGCGAGTTCACTTCAGATGAACCTTCATGTTTTTGTGTAGGAGAAGGAATCCACTGTGATGAAGAAAAAATATGAAAAGCTAACTGCAGAGGTAGATATGCATTACTTTTCACATTCAGTAACAACTTTAAACACTCATATTTTATAGCTTCAGTGTGCAGTGATACATGCTTATTTATCTTGGATGAATTTTGCTTTTGGGTTTCAGTTTTGACATCTTAAGTTTTGCAGAAACTTGGAAAGCTGTGTCTAAATATAAATATAATTTATTTTTTTTAGCTCAAAAGCCTCCAGCAAGAAATAGAGCAGGACAAGCTCTCACTGAGCAACCTCAAGTCTGAAATTCAGGACTTGAAGGTAACGTTATCAATTCCACCATGGTTATAGCCACCTCGATGTCACACATTAGTAAAGTTATGAAGCCTCCAACTGAGTGTTTTTCGTTGCCTTATTATAGTTTTGAAACTGAATGTGGCAAACAAGGAGTGTATCTGACTGCAAAAACAAGGACAGCCCATTCTTATGTGATTGACAAGTTATTTAAAAACAAGAATACTGTGCATAATCCTCTTTTTTGGCTCTAATAATGTCCATAATCTACAAAATGAATGTTTTTTTCAGAATGATCTGATATTAATGAGCTCATAAAGATCTCAGAAGGGTGTCATATCATAGATCAAGGAAGCTGAGTGCTGTTTTTCCACAGTCTTCTATATAACCGGAAGACTTTAAAAAATAATGCAGATGTAAAGAACGTCCACATTGGTTTCACTTGACAAACCTGAATGACATGAGTATATAGTATTTTGATAATCTTCTTTTCTTCTGTACTTTGTATGTTTTTTTAGTTTAAAAGGGAAGAGGACCAGTCAAACCTGGAGCACAAGGATGAGGCTATTCATCATGCAAGTAAAAGATCAGCATCGATGTCAATACAAAGCAGTGACTGACCAACAGTTTTAGATTTTCTCACAAACATTAACAGTAAAGATTGTCACAGTTCTCTGTTGTTTATTGTTTTACCATTTCTTTATAGATATACTTGCAGTTGAATCAATTAAGTGAAACTGTGGAAGAGTGCTTCAACAATATAAAGGTAAGAATGTTTTATCCATTTATATCTAATCAAACATTAAACCAAAAAAAGTATAATTTATGCAATTTATTCGTGTGATGCAACTCTTTATCACATGGATTTCAAACTGTGTCAGTGATTGGCAGACTGTTGACAAGAGAGACATTTCCTTTGTGTGATGATGTGCGAGCTTGCATTGGAGCTGTTGGGATCTGCAAATGCACAGTTGTATGTAAAAGTCCGGGTACTCTTTGGGCCTTAATTGACTTGTTGACAGGTCAAAAAGTGCCATAGTTGAAAAGGCTGTCAGGGCATCAAAGGGAAGGCTTTTAAAAAGATCAAAGTACCTCCAACTTTCAATTGTCTGACAAGTCACTGAGAAACGACAGTTAAAAGGAACTCTGAAAGTCAAGACAATATCTGCAAGGCTTAGAAAACTTTTAGCTAAAACTGCACCCCTGCTGTGCAAGAAAGGAAAACAAATCAACGTCATGAATTCAAAAGAGCTGCTGGAAATTTTAACTGACAGAGGAGAGTTGGTGCACTATTTCACTGTGCAGTTCAGATGTGCAAACACAGCCTGCATGGAAGAGTCCTCCAAAGGAATCCTTACATGCAGTCACTTCACTAAAACATCTGGAGAAGTCAGAGATGCAGAGAGATAGAAAGTCTAGCCAGAATCATCTAGTATATGTTTGGAAGAAAGAAAAAGCAGGTCTATAAGAAGACTGTGAACTGTTGAGTATTGATGCAAAGCAGACATCAGCTTTCATCACAGAATACCTTATTAAATGAAGTTATGTGGTTACAGTTGCTTTCAATACAGTAAGAACAGTAACAGACTGAACTAAATTGCTTAATATAAGAAATAGCTCTAATACATACAAATAGCTCAATAATAAATATCCAGAATATTACAGAGATTATTATTTGATGTATTATGTGATTGATTGGAGTTGTAAGCTGATGCTTTTGGAGGAGCTCTCACAGTTTTATGACTTAAACATCACTGAAAGTCAGCGGGGAGATCTTAAACATGCTGTGTGCCTGCAAGCCGAGCGCACAGTTAGTAGTTGTGGGTCACAATTACTGTTTGATTTTTAAAAAACTCATCTTAAAGTCTGTTTGGTGGAGGGATTGTCTGCTTCATCTTCAGTGTGAGAGTCAGAGATTCCTGAAATGTGATACTGCATTTGGAATCAGTCCATAGGCGATGCTCACAAGGAGTCCCCACTTGCCAACCTTGAAACCTCAGAATTAGGGAGACATTCAAAAGGGCTGTTGGGGGTATCCAACAGCTCTATTGGCTGGCCAGAAACAGCGGGGGTATCCAAATTGAGAGGCTGCATCCTCCTCAGGACCTGGCCTTCACAATCTAAGTGGGCCGGGTCCTCCGAAAGCCGGGTAGGCCGGAAGTGAGCGACTGTGAAATTGGACAGTCTAGCCTTCAGAATTACGTCACGAACTCTCTCAGTGGAGTGAAATTCTGCCGCCTGCTCCTTGCTATCTAAAATATAAACTTGACGCTGCCATAAATTCTTGACCATCTCATACTTCTTTTTAATCAGTTTTCTGTTTGACGTTTATTCAGCTGTGTGAAAACCCCGGAGGAACCCTCCCGAGGGATTAACAAAGTTAAATTGAATCTAATCTAATAACTTTAATCTCACCAAACTGATTTACTCACAAACAAATAAAACACTGAAAAAAGTCCAACAATAGCAGTTTTAAGTTATCAAAGTGACTTATATATCATGTTTAATCTGAGTAGTGAAAGACCGCGGGGGTTGAAAACGATGTGCCGGGTGCCGATGTGTCTCCTCGGCTCAGATATTTGAAGTTTACACAGCTACATTCTCGCCTGAAAATATGTTAAAAGTTTATTTTGCGACCCAGAAAGAGTAATAGGAGTAATATTAAAACTAAGTAGCTGCCGCCACAGTTGGAAACTGGAATTGGCTGGGCCGCGCTATGAATTCTGCGATATATGGTTTTTCAATTTTGTTGTCCGGGTGGAAAATCGGGAGAAATTCGGGAGAATGGTGGCTCCGGGAGATTTTTTGGAGGGGCACTGACATTCGGGATTCTACAGGAAAAATCGGGAAGGTTGGCATGTATGCCCTTGTAACATTTGCCCAATTCTGACTTATAAACTTTTAAGGTGTTTTACTGTCTGGCCCTGTGTCTGTGCTACAGGACCTCAGGCAGACAACGCAGGAGCTGAGTAAGCAGTTGGAGGACAGACAAGATGAGGCCACATTGTAATCCTCACTCACAGATCCTCTTGCTTTAAAAGATTACACAGTATAGTGGGAGAGCTCATAATGTACTACGTCACTCTGTTTTTAGTGACCTGATGAGAGAGAAGGAACGAGTGCTCAACCGCCCTCTGTCCTTTGCAGAGGAAATTAAACTGCTGGCCACAACAGCTGAAATGAATACCGGCATGACAGACTCCACAAATCTTGGAAATGTAGATGTTTGTATGAAGTTCAATAAAATAAATACAAACTAGAGAAACTGAGTTAGAAATGATACATTAATGATGCCTGCTACACTGTCTGCAGGAGGAAGCTAAGACTGAGGAGCTGCTGAAACCTCATCTTTCCACAGTTAAGCTTCAGTCTAAAAGGTACTCAGATAAGATTTTGTACGTGATGGAGGCATCGTATTTCATTTTCTCGCTCATTATTCTTCCTCTTGCTTCTCAATCGTGTAAAGATGCCCAGGTACCTTGGAGAAAGCCATCTGGAGAGTGGGTTTCTTTATGCTGTGCATCTTCATTCTCATGATTATAGCCTTTGTGGCTTCAGGATGCTTTGCAGGAACATCTGACTTCTCTTCCATCACCACTTTGTGGACTAGCGCCCACCTGATGTTACAGCCCTATTGGAGTGTACAATATGGGGCCTTGCCTCCCATTTGAGCTTAACTCTCCCTCTGGTCTACTCTTGTATTTTAGTATTTCTTTTGTAAACATGAGTTCAGAAAACAAACAAATAAAACTTCTCATGATGCATTAAGCTGCTTCAGCCTCAGGGTCTTGCATGAGCTTACTGATTGTCTATTGCACTGTTATGACATACAGAAACGTCTAGATTCTAAACCAACAGCATGTAGAGGCTGTGCTGATCAAAAAATCAAATTTGCAAAAGCAAGTGTCTTAGCTACAGAAGAGGATTAGGGCCACTGGGGGGGGAAAGTGGGCACGTCTTTTTTTTTTCCAGAATTCTGAGAAAAAGGGCAGAATTCTTACTTTTTTTCTCAAATTAAAGTCAGAATTCAGACGGGGAAAAAATCTGAATTCTGACTTTAATCTCAGAATTTTGAGATTAGTCAGAATTCTTTAGTCTCAGAATTCAGATAAAAAAGAATTCTTACATTAATTTCAGAATTCTCCATTCTGACGTTTTTCTGAGAATTCTGAGATTAAAGTCAGAATTCTTTAATCTCAGAATTCTGATTCCCAAAAACGAATAAACTATGGATGTTATAGCTCTATTTGCAGTTTGCATCTTTTTTACTTTCACTTTTTTTTTTTTTATCTCATTTCATTGTCTTATCATCTATGTTAAGTTGCATTGCGCATATGTCTTTATTCAACATCTTTCTGATCTTATCTTATTTTTGGACCTTACTTCACACAGAGGCTTTACTCCCTTTAACCTTTTGAATTTTCTTTTTTAATCGATGAAAAAATATATATACTTTTGGAAAATATTCTCATCCACCCCACAGAATCCCGGTGCCGCGCGCTTCACGTGACACTTGAATCATTGCTTCGTGTTATCAGTATTTCACTCGCGTCGCCCCACCCAGCTGAAGGCGCTCTAGTCTGTTGGTCCAGGAAAAAAACCCTCCTCCCCGACGGGAAAATCATAAACAGCAGATCAGATTTAGGTCAGGAGGAAAGACGGGATATTATCAAATAGGCGCTGGCTGATGATTCATTGTGTGCAAGTATCCGCTGGATGTATGTGAAGCGTGTGGATGCTGCACGGTTAGTGCTGACTGACTCCCGGAGATGCTGTGGACAGGCCGAACCTGTTTAACATCCGCTTGCTTATTGGATGGAGCAAAGAAAGATAGACAATAAATCAGAATAAGAGATCAACAGGCCAGTTGTATTCGGTCTGAGAGCAGGAGTCCGAGGAAGAGCGGCAGCGGCATGTTCTGAGCGGAGAGCCGACGAGCGGCGGCAGCAGGCGGGATGAAGGCTCCGAGAAGACCGAGGCAGACGCGCCTCCTCCGGCGTTTCTGCGTCTGTGGAGTCGGTCTGTTCGCAGCCGCCTGGATCTTTCACTTCTGTGATGTTACAGGTGCGTATAAAGACTCTGATTTAAAGTTGTCTTAACCACTCCTATACTTTCATTATTTGCTATAACAAATCAAATTGCAGTATTAAGGCAAATGTCACGTTGTACAGATTATTTTAGCGGGATACTAGTAAAGAAACACATTAAAGTTACATAAAAGGTTATGTTGAATTTATATCCTCAAATAGCTTAACTGTATTCATATGTGAATTACTCTTTTTAGACTACCATAGACCAACTGTGGATCACAGCAGCTCCTTATTCAAGAGGGAGCTCATCCAGCAAAAAGAAGACAACCAGACTGGGGGTGCTTCTAGATCTGGTGAGGTGCTTTACCACGTGTTTGTGTCTTTCACATACACTCTGTTTATAGGCGTGCATGATGCGCCAACAGGAACATTATCTTTACAAAACTTTAAAAGTCTAATTGCATCAGTGTGTTGAGCTAGAATGAGCTCAGGTTTGGATAACCTGTGTACAGTCACCGTGACCTTCTGAGCCCTTGTGTGTTTATGGCAGTCAAAGTGTGCAATCTTTGTTTATCTCCTTAAATCAAGAACTATTTCCTCTTGTGCATTCCTTTACTCCTCTGGTCCACCTTTCATTTCTTTAAATTTAGTACATATATATGTTTTAAAAACAGTTAGGTCTTTGATGGTTGCTAGGAAACTGAGTTTGTGGTTTGATGTAGTGTGCATCTGGAGCTGTTCAAAGTGCCCGCTTGTGGTATTGACCCGCTGATTAGTAACCTCTCATCAGCCGCTCTACCATTGCTTATGCATGCTTGGATCTGTGTGGCTGCTTGAGATTTTTACAGAACACACTGAGCTGTATTCAGTCAGAATGAAGTTCCTGCCTCACGGAAATATAGTGCAGATCAACTTAAAAGCTTTGTTCAAACTATCATATTTCTATTTTTAAGAGCATCATGTGGTTTCTGATGCTAAAAATATACAGTTTGATCATAATCTGAATTAAACCAACATCACACCATTTCTGCCTCTTAGGTGTTATTTGTGTTTGCCTCTAACTGCACATTGATATCTCTTTCACTTTTAAAAGCGGTTTAAAAAATCTGACGTACAGTTAAATCAGAAAACCTTGAGGGGAAGTCACTTGGGAGGCTGCTTTTCAGATTATTGTTGCGTCTGTATCATGAAAAAAAGCTTTTTAAATGTTGCAGTGAGCTGTGGTATTTATGAGCTTATGTGCAAGGCAGTGCAGCCAAGCAAAGCAATCGCTTTCTGCTGGGAGGAGAAAGGCTGTGACGCATGGTGACGCTCAGCCAAATTAGATGCCTCTGAACTTCAATATAATTGGAATTGCTTTTAGAAGAACTGACAAAGAAAGTCAATAAAACACTTGTTTTTGGATGGCGTGAGGGATAGTGTGAAGTCATAAGAGGAGCATGGAAAATACAGCTGTAATGCAATTGGACTCCTGGTTGTGTGACTTTAAACTCAAGCTGTGTCTAGACAAGATACAGGATACATTCAACAAACTGAGATACGCCAATTCTAGATCTGACGCATGCAAGGATAAATGCCCGCAGGTTCAGGGTGGAGCTGAGTTATAATTCTAATCACAGCCTTTATTTAACCACCTACCTGCGGCTCTTCTCTGAACTCCAAGGGAACAAATCCTCCTTTAAAGAAAGTGTGTTAAAGTCACTGTGAGTTCATTTTGAGACGTGACAGAAAATAATCTTCAGATATCAGAAGATAAAAGTGCAGGTTTTAGGGAGTCGTGTTTAAAATGTAATGTATTAGAATACTTGGTAACTGGTTTTTGTTGTCCAACACTGTTTCCTAATTCCACATGTCATTAGATTACACTCTATCCATCTTTTCCCAAGCTATCAGTGAGTTTCCTGAAGACGTCTTTACTGTGGATCAAAGGAGACAGGGTGCAGTCCTCCTTCATGCTCTCTGTGTGAGTATCACATCTGTCTGAAAGCCTGCGTTTGACATAATAAAACGCTGTATTTTCTCTTATTTTCATCTTAAACCAAATCTTCAGTAATGCGTTTGCTGTATTTCTCAGGCTATCTACATGTTTCACGCACTGGCCATTGTCTGTGATGTTTACTTTGTGCCATCACTGGAAAAAGTGTCAGAGGTACGATGCACAAATCTATAATGGCTGAAAGTAAAGTAATACTTGATAGTTTCCCATTCTACTCTAGGTATTAAGTTAAAAAAAAAAAACCTTTAAAGGGTAAGAAGCGAGTGTATTTTCTTTACTGGCTGTAATTAATCTCTAAAGACATGAAACAATAGTGTGTTAGTCTATCAGAACTCTCTGTTTAAGCCTTGTGGTATTAAATTATAAACTAGTGTTCATGTTCATTGGACAAATGTAACCTTAGTTGATGTTTTTCTAGTAGTTTTTGGACAGCAGTAGAGGTCTTTGGCTATGGCAGGCTCTGGATAAACACACCGTATTTATTAGGATCAATCCTGTGACAGAAGAATACCAAATATGACCATCCTCATCCTTAAGCCTGTTTAATCTCCCCTCTCCATCCACTAGAACCTTCAGCTCAGTCAGGATGTTGCCGGGGCAACCTTCATGGCAGCTGGGAGCTCTGCCCCTGAGCTCTTCACTTCTTTGATTGGTCAGTATCCCAGTCAGTCATTCCCTCCAGTTGGTTAGATCAATATTTCTGCCATCAATGCTCCAATTAGAGGCAATCGGAGAGACAATGTCTAATCAGGACAGAGAAAAGTGCACATAGGGAGCCAGCAGTGATTAATTTTAGGCATTTATCATTAATCATAGATGTCAAGATTTATTTTTGCTTGATGGTTTATCATGTCACTGTGGGGCAGGGTTTTTTTTATCATTAACAGTGTTTCAGTAAATAAACTTTCACTTTTTTTAAATAAGATAAAAAAAATTAAATAAAATTTAATAAAACCTTTATTTTATATTTTGGAGTTTATGTTCTGATTTTTCCTGCTATTCCAGAGTCTATAGTTCTATGTTTACTTAACTGTTTTCCTTGTGGAGGGTTGTGTTTGTCCGTGTATTTTGTTTTCAGCTCATTATTCCAGCCTCCCCCTGTGTTGTGTTTTTATTCTTTAGTGTGAGCTTTCATATCTCTGTGTTTAGTTGGGTGCTGTTGTTATTTTTACTTTGTTAGTTAGTTGTCTCTTGTGTCTTGTTTTGAGTTTCACTCACTCCCCTGCATCATTGTCTTGATTGTGTGCTCCTGTGTCTCATTTCATTCACTCCCTTTTTGAGTAAACAGTTCTGTCTCCATTGTAGCCTCTGTCAGATACTCTGTGTGTTCACTGAGTTAGTCTCTGTGTTTTTAAGCTGTGCTTGTCATCCCCAGCTCTGTTTCTTTGTTGCCTTTTTCTGGGACTTTCACTCTAAGCTTATTGATAAGTACGTTAATCTGAGTCCATGTCGGTGCATTAAGCTCAGACATGTCAAAAATTCAACCAGTTCAAAGGAATAAACGTTTCCAAGGTGAATATATTATAAGATAAGATGTACGTTATTTATCCCAGATGTGGGAAATTCTTTTGTTACAGTTAAAAAATTACGTTAAACACAAACAAGCATATACAGCAGGTCAGTAAGTGTAACTGCTTATATAATAATGTTGCCCATACACTGTGACACTACAGTACAATAATTAAATTAATTATAATTATTTTCTTCTTCTTTTGCACAGATAAAACATATCAGATATAA